ACCAGTAGCAACGAGGGATGCTGACACGAGTCCATCGCCGCCTCTCAATCGACCTTCAGGCGGCAGGGTCGCCGGAATTCGCTCCGGCTGTGTCAAACTCAGAATAAAGTTCGAATGGGCATACATAATTGGCAAACAGCCTTGAATGTGGAAGGCAACGTCGTAGAAAGAACGCCGGCCTCCAAGTGTGAAATCTTCGGCGTAGGGGCAGAGAACCCAGTGCAACGCAAATCATCTAAGAATTTTTGCACAATTTGTTCAACCGATTTAGGAGGTTCCGGTGGTGGGTCGCCCACCTCTATCGTCGTCTCAATCAGACAAAGACGGCCACCGATTCAGATCGCCGATATGATGAATATAGCGCCACGGTAATCTAATCTTGTAGAAGGCGTTTGTCCTGCATTCCATTATAATATGATTTCAATTGGCAAGCTTTTTAAGGGTTCTAATTATAGCTTGCTACTTCATTCTTATCAGTTCCTTATACAAGATCAACTCCATGGAAAGAAGATTGGTTTGGCTAGGCTACAAGAAGAACTTTACTCTGTAGACTTTGTTTATCCTTATCATCATGAAGTAGTGAGAAAAATACATGTAATGCCTGGCGGTATGCATGCTAGATTAGGATATGTTGTTGGAAAATTTTGAGAGAGAGAGATTTGTGTGGTCCAAATTAAACAATAAATATTCATCCTTTTCCATGTGTTTATTCTTGCCTATTTCTTAGAAAAATGAAAGGCCACAAATCTCATAGGTTTATTAATTATGGTAGATGTGTGTTGAAGAGGTGTGAATTGAAGCAGCGCACACGTAGGTAACCTTGTGGTTGTAACAGTATGCAACATTACTATATAAAGGCTATCTACTTTTGTTAAAAACACACTCAACAATCATTTTCTTATCCTTCTTTCTTTAATCCCTCTGTGTAATCATCTGAGCAAAGTCAGGTTTACCTACACTATTGTTGGTTTGAACTAAGCGTAGTTAGTTTGTGTAGTCTGTCGAAAGCGTGCCAGGGTTCTGACTGCACCGTTAGCGGGCAAATAACACTTTTAAGGTAGTGTTATTATAACACAGCACAGACTTCCTTTCAGTCATACACCCATAGTATCCGTGTTTTTTAAAAGGTTTCCAGCCCACGCGTTGACATTGCTTAAATTCTCCAACAGTTAAAAGCGTTATTTAAGCAACAGTCAACCTTTCAGCGTTATGGCACCTTCTGTCACAAATGAATGACAAATTGTTTGACATCTATGTCAAACAAGACTTGGCAAAAGTCATTTGAGAATCGCTGTAAGAAAAGTACGGTGCCAATGAAAATGAAATTCAAAGTAATAACTATAACAAAAGGAGTGGAAAAGTCAAGAAGCTCAAAGGAAGATGTTTCGTGTGCGGAAAGCAAGGACACCGAGCATACCAATGCTACCATTGCAAGGGAAAAACTAGTAGAAGTCAATCTGACAGAGCAAGATGAGTATTGCATTTCTTTAAATAAGTAGTTATTTTGAGTAACTCTAATTTTCTCTAGTTCTAAGGGCTCGCAAAAAATGTGATTTTCTTAGTACTGAATACTAGTTGAGTTGTCTAAATTTTGATTACTTTTTTTTTTAATGCTACTGGCTCTATTACAATGTAGTATCTGTTCATAAATTTTGATTACTTAGAAGTACTTATTTCTTTAGTAGGTTGAATGCTAATGGCATTTATTGAAATGAATTTGGCATAGATATTGCTCAAATTTTGTACTGCAATTAGTCGTATAAAATTAAGAGCATAGATCAAAGGCTTTAATTGCAATTTGATGATAGCATGGAATAGTCATCGCTCTTGAATACTCTGTCTAGGAAGATGGTTTTTAAGTAAACTTTGGTTTCACCACTCGACCTGTGAGTTTTTAAGAAGTATGATGTTGATCATGCAGGCCAGTTGAAGCGCCACTTGATCTATTCACCTGAAATGAGGTTGACTTTAATATGTTATTAAACAATCAAAGTCTTGCAATAGAAATTGTTGAAGTACTGCAATAGTAATGTTGATCTGCATCATATGAATGCTTTATATGAGTTTTTAATTTCCTCAAGTGAAGGAAAAGTTGTGCAGGTGGAATAACTTTGTGAATTCACCTTGTTGAATATATTCCCTAATAAATGTCAGTTTGGACATATTTTTTGCGTATGAGATTAACTTCTCTTAAGAATATTATGTGAAATTTGTGATTATGTTGTCCAACTTGAAGTAGCATATAGACAACATTATCTCTGTGGCTTACGAACGATGAGCATTTATATATATTATTTTAAATTCTTGGTTGAGTCATCTTGAAAGACCTATAATTCCTGTTTAAAGGGTAATTATGATGGGTTGAGATAACCAAGTTTGTTGAAATATATTCAACTATTGATTATGTATTAGTTAAAGTGTGGAGCTACTATAATGTTTCACAAAACAAATTTGCTAAACTCAGTCTACAAAGGAGCGAATGATGGGTGCCAAAGATCAATATGGGTAAGAGATCAAATACTTTTGAGAAAAGTATTTGTAAGTGTTGCATTGTGGGGGTAATTAACTCATGATATATTTCTTTCCTAAAAGTCTCTATGTGGTACCGACAATAATGGTAAAAGAGAATATTTCATGTTGAACATGAAAATCTTAAAGGAATTATTTATGAGTAAATAAAGTACTCGTCAAAGTGTACGTAAGTTTGATCGAGAAGATCAACTTACTTTAATTGAGAAGGCTAATTATGAGGTTAGTTGTCGAATTGTTGATGGAATGGCTTAAAGCCCAAGAGGTGATGAATTCGTGGTGGATCCCACTTTTGTGGTCAAACGAAGCCATGAAAAGAATCACAAAGTAGTACACTAATTGGTCATCCCTACAATGTGTGTACGTGTGAGGTTGAGCTACGACTCTTAATGAATTCATAACCCTATGAAAAGGGTGGTTTTGTTGAGACAGGCCTAATGAATTCACTGCATAATTCTTGAGTACAAAAGTGCTCTTAGTGATTTATACTCAATTGGGGTTGTCTATTTTTGAGGTAGACCTAACGAGATCCCTAACTTGAGTGAAAAAGGGTTAATCCTCTCTTATGGAAGATAATGGGGGTATCCCAAGAAGCTGAGTGACTAAGAAATATGTTGATAAACGTGCAGTTGTCGGGATGTCCAACACCTTCACTACATATACATTGTGATTCACAAACTATCGTTTGCATTGCAAAGAACAGTGCCTATGATAGAAAGAAAAGACTTACAACTGATTTATGTCTTTAACTAACTACTTTATAATCCTTTAAAGGTGGTCTATACTGAGATAGACTTGATAGAGTTAAAAGTCTATATTGAGATGAACTTGACAAGACATAAAAATCTATAATACGATAAGGCTTGTCAGAGTTAAAAGTCTATGTTGAAATAGACTTTGACAGGATTGAGGTCTATATTGAAATAAGCATAACAGACTTGAATACTAAGGGTATTCATAAGAAGTCAAAGAGTTTGACTTTCGTAGAACCTGCTTCTTAGAGTTGGTGTGTGCATTAGAGTTCAAAGTTTATCTAACCGGTGAGTTCAAGATTCATATCACTCTCGGGAAGAAAATTACTCAGTGTCACTACATGTCAGTTCAAGTTCTCAAACACAAACATTAAGATCAACTCGTTTGTATTGCTCAGACATTATTTCTTTTAGCCTTCTACTTTGAATATATGTGGGATCATTATTTCTTGTGAATAGCTCAGACAAATCTTTGCGTCTCAACTCAGAATTTGTGGGGGGTTGTTGGAAAATTATGAGAGAGAGAGATTTCTGTGGTCCAAATTAAACCATAAATATCCATCTTTTTCCATGTGTTTATTCTTGCCTATTTCTAAGCAAAATGAAAGGCCACAAATCTCATAGGTTTATTAATTATGGCTGATGTGCGTTGAGAAGGTGTGAATTGAAGCAGCGCAAACGTAGGTAGCCTTGTGGATGGTTGTAACAGTATGCAACATTGCTATATAAAGGCTATCTACTTTTGTTAAAAAAACACACTCAACAATCATCTTCTTATCCTTCTTTCTTTAATCCCTTTGTGTAATCATCTGAGCAAAGTCAGGTTCACTTATGCTATAGTTGGTGCGAACTAAGCATAGTTAGTCTGTGTAGCCTGTCGAAAGCTTGCCAAGGTTCTGACTGCACCTTTACCGGACAAATAACGCTTTTGAGGTAGTGTTATTATAACATTGCACAGTCTTCCTTTCAGTCATACACCCGTAGTATCCGTATTTCTTAAAAGGTTTCCAGCTCGCGCGTTGACATTGCTTAAATTCTCCAATACATGCTTAGTATCACAAAATAAAAACTTGCAAAAGTTGAATTTCAATGTTGATGTAAATAAAGATCTTGTGTGTGCTTTCAAAAAAAAAAAAAAAAAAAAAAAAAAAAAAAAAGATCTTGTGTGTGATATTTTAATTGTCATCTAGCCAAACAAAAAAAGGCTACATTTTCATACGTACTAGCAATTCCTCTATTGCTACTTGTTTTGATTTAGTGCATGTTAACATTTGAGGATCATATCATGTGTATACCTTAGTACATGTTAACATTTGAGGATCATATGATCATGTGTATACCTTATATGGACATAAATATTTTTAAACAATCGTGGATGATCACACTAGCCACTAGGTCCACCCAAGTACTGTTGTATGTAGTATTTATATATGCATATCAAATGTTCTACAAAAGTCTTTCTTTAACACAACCCCAATAAAATTAGTTATAATACTATTTTTTTGTTGGACTTATATATCCTAGTAATAACCCAGGAAAAAAAGAAGTCTTTCTTTATGTTAAAAATCCGGCTAGTAGCAGTGTTTTAGTGTAGGCATTCACTTTTTAGTGTGTGCAAAATGAGACAGCTTTCCAAATAGTATAGTATCTCCACTATCATTTCTTCTCGTAGTACACATATATAATAAAGAAATAAAAGGCAATTAAGTGGAATTGAAGAATGAAAATGGCGTCGACCCAGCAAGAGCATAAGAGTGAGATAGAAGAAGAAGAAGAAGAAGAGTGCGCATATGCAGTCCAGCTGGTGACTAGTGCATCGTTGCCAATGGTGTTGAAGGCGGCGGTGGAACTGGATGTGTTTGAGATCATAAACGGTGCCGGATCTGGTGCTCAACTATCACCTTCTCAGATCGCTTCAAAAATGCCCACCAAAAACCCAGATGCTCCGGCCATGCTGGATCGGATGCTCCGCCTCCTGGCCACCCACAATCTCCTCACCTGCTCAGTTGTTGCCGCCGCCGCCGCCGGAGATGAAGATGTTACAAGACTTTACGGCCTTGCACCGGTGGCCAAATACTTTATCCGCAACCAAGATGGTGCGTCGCTGGGGCCCCTTTTAGCACTACTTCAAGACAAAGTCTTTATCCACAGCTGGTATGTCCCATCATCACTTCACTCAATCTGGCTCAAACACAACAATACCAATTCAATAATTTTGGAATGAATGACAAAAATGAAATAGTTTTTAAAAAGTGAATAATTTTAAAATTTTTATCAGAAATCAAAGTCCCAAATAATTTTTAAAAATATCTTTTTATTGTTGGTGAACCTAAAATACAAATGTCACCTGCGTTTATCTCGTGTAATACAAGAAACACAAATGTCACTGTTGGGAATTAGGAACTTGGAAGTGCTTTGGGTTTTGGTTTCATTTGTCTTTGATCTCCGGAAAATCCTTGGTTGGCGTCGAAGTAGGAGACGTGCTATGTCTTTGATTCTCCAGCTCTCTCAAGAGCTAAAAGCCAAGTCTTTGATTAGGCATGGACTTGCAGAAACACACCCAAAAAAAAAAAAAGGGAAAGGAGGAAGAAGAAATGTCTAACTTTGGGTTCAATTTTGGAGAGAAAAAACAAATAAAAAAGTAAAAAATGGAGGGGAATATGGTAACATTGTAACAACCACATGGGGATGTCCTCAAAAGAGGAAAGAAAAGAAAGAAAAATCCAAGGGAAAGTGAAAGGAATTTTGTCTAGAAGGAAGAAAAGAAAAGTGGTCAATAGAATGACAATATTGTAATTCGTTTAAAAATTGAGGGCATTTAAAAACAAAAATAAATAGAAATGTTACGTTAGATAAAAAAATTCTACATTATTTGAGATCAATGGTTAATAAGGGGTGTCATTTTTAGGGACATTGGCAACTCCCAAATCTATCTACTATATATATATATATATATATATATATATATATATATATATATATACTAATAAGAGCCCAAGAGAGTTAGGCCTATAATGGGTAGAAAAAATGGCGGTCACAGATTTTAATCAAATGAATGGCTTAGATTAATTAAAAAATTGATCAGATTTAAATTTTACACTAAAATTTCCTAAAATACCCACACACCGTTACTAATTCCGTTAAAATTTTAAGAATTGCTGTTAGTTCACCGTTAACTTACTCATTGATTTCAATAAAAAAAAAAAAGTCTTAGGTTCGAACCTCATCCCAATCAAAGTTGGCATAATTAGTACTCTATTTTACTCTTATTAAATTATATAAATAATAATTTAGTAGTTACAACAAAAAATAATACATATGCATTTCTTTAATTTAGAATTATGTGTCCACAATGCCTTTATTCAAAAAAAAATAAATTATTCATTATCAATCAATTAAATAAGAGAAATAATTTTATTAGTTATATTGTCCTTATTTTTCTTCAATATAAAAATTCTTTATATTCAAATTTATTAATTGATTATATTCGCCTACATTATCCTTACAATGTCTTTATTCAATAATTTATTAATTATCAATAAATTAATTAAAAGAAATATTTTCATTAGTTATATTGTCTTTATTTTTCTCAAATGTAAAAATTTTTACATTCAAATTCATCAATTGATTATATTCACTACATTATCTATTATCTTTTTTGTGCACTATTTTTCTAATTAAATATCAAAGTTATAATACAAAATAATGCTATATATTTATTTACCAAGTATTTTATTAATACCATGAAAAAATTAAAAAAAAATATAATTAATAAAGCCAACCATATTAACTACTTGAGAGATTTTGTGACAACGAGAGTATTCAAATCACACAACAAATTGAAGTGAGAACTACCTCGCAATGTCCTTGTTTGACAATCAGCAGTTAGCGGTTAGCGGATTATACTAGCGGATTTGACCAGTGAATTTATTTAATTATTAACATTGGGTAGAAAAAATGACCGCCAAATTATTAAATCAAATGAATGGTTCATATTGTTCAGGTTTTAATTTTTTCTTTTAAGATTTTCTAATTTATCTTTAATTATATGATTATCCATTTAACTTTTCCGTTAATTCACCGTTAGTCTAATTCTAATATTAAAGTCTAATATAGAATTATAACTACACCATTAATCTAATTCTAATATTAAAGTCTTAATAAAACTTAACCACAAATCCTAATGTCGGAATCTCCTCAAACAATATTAGTATACATTTAATATTCTATGTCCTAATTTTTATTTGTTATCCCTTATGTCCCGTATTTGGTTTCAACCATGCCTATACAATTATTTTATTGACAATTATAATCAATCTTGACTATATTATCTTGCATTTGTTAACAATTACCTATTTAACCCGCATGAGCTTAGCTCAATGGTTTAGTGGGTAGTATTTGGGAGAAGAAACGAAGGTTTGAACCTCGGCGGCGACAGTGCGAGAATTATGTCCAAAGTTGGCAGATTCCTTGTGCGTATCAGCATTTGGCCCTGTTTGCTGAACCATTGAGTCACCGTGATTTACAACTTCCCCCAATGCTCTATCGGGTCGGAGTGTGGGGGGCCCTTGGGGTTGGGGACTCGGGAGAAAAATTACCTATTTAAATACGCAAATTCAACCTTCAATTATCTATGCATGAACAATTTCAATATAATCCTGTCTTAATATACTTTAAAGTACTTATTTAAAAAAAAGCATTGGGCATTATCCCAATCGCGCAATGCGCGTAAAAAACTAGTATTAGTATAAGGGGGATTTAGTTACCAATCTGATGATGACACCTCAAAAGGGAAGTTTGTTGGAGAATTATAAATTTATAGGAGGGATTGTAGCATTGCTATATACTTGCTTTGTCTCATTTTATGTATCTGAGGTTTGAATTAAAATATTTTAAATTTAATTTTTTAATAATGTTAAGTGTAGTATATATTTTAATATAAAATTTATATATTAAAAAACTACATTAAAAATACAATTAAAAACAATAATTAAATTTTTTTAAAGAAAATAAACAAAGAATATATATATATATATATATATATATATATATATATATATATATATATATATATATAATGTTTATTAAATTTAAATTAATTATAGATTCATCAAAATTAAAGATCGAGGTATAAGATCTAAATCTGATCCATTGTGAGAATTAATATTATTTTAAATTTAAATTTATACAATACTAATATATTGTATGAATTTGAGTTTTGGTGGTCTCGGTTGGATGGGAAAAGTGTAGAGGGTGAGGTAGGATGAATATACTTTTTAAAGTTAAAAATTGTTTGAATATTTTTTTTTTTTTTGAAAAGTTGACTAAACAAGTTAACTTTTGAACACTATATAAAGGTAGGTTGAAAATTTAACTAAATAGTCAAAAAGGTAAAAAAATTTACTGCTTTGAAAGGCTTAATTGTTGTCATCACAGTCGTGGTGCTGTTTTAGAAGTTGTGTTGTGACAGCTGTCTATCACACATCTGATGCGTCATACTTAGCTTGCTCTTAGACTTGTGCTCTGCTTTTAACCTTGTTGTTGGTATAGTCATATTGCTTGTAAAATTCAATTCTTTCTCCTTAGCTTGTTGAAATTAAGTTGTGCTGTTACCCAATATTTCCTGCTATGACATCACATAATATGTCATCTTCAAAATCTTGTTGTTGATCAACTTCTACTGCTATAGACCTTTGTTCTTTGATAAAGTCAGCATTACGTGTAGGGGTTGGAGTGATACTCGAATTGTATTGCAGGTATCTGAAAATTTTAGGTGATATTTTTGACATTCTATATTCGAATCAAATTTAATTCGGTTATGTTCGGTTCGGATGAATTTATAGTCAATATATACAATATAATGAGGAATTTGAAGTGGATCATATTTATATATCTCAGGTATGAATTAAAAGACGCTGTACTTGAAGGAGGAGTTCCCTTTGACAGGGTCCATGGAACACATGCATTCGAGTATCCGGGGAAAGATCCTAGGTTCAACCATGTATTCAACAAGGCAATGTTGAACCACACAAGTGTCGTAATCAAAAGCATCCTGGAGAAGTACAAAGGATTAGAACACATCAATACTTTGGTTGATGTTGGTGGTGGGCTTGGTGTCACCCTCAGTATAATTACTGAAAAATATCCAGGGATAAAGGGGATCAATTTTGATTTGCCGCATGTTATCCATACCGCACCTGCCTATCCTAGTTACTTCCCTATATCATACTCTTTTTTCTTTAGTACTATATATTGACTCTATTAATAATAATAGTTTCCTTCTACCTTATTTATTTGATTCTTCATATAATATAATGCAAACATATTTACGTACTATATATATGCAGGGGTTGAACATGTTGGGGGAGATATGTTTGAAAGTGTACCAAAAGGAGATGCTATATTCATGAAGGTACGTATAGTAGGTGAACTAACATGATATTATTATTTATTAGGGTGTGTTAGTTTAATTTGGTTCATGGGGTTAGACACAAGAAAGGAATGCAAATGAAAATCAATACACATTGTTTGGTTGACAACTTTTTAAGATGATATACGATTTGATTATATTATCCCTAGTCTATAAGATCAAAACCCATTACCTACCTAATTTAAATCAATATCATATATTTCATTAGTCTAGTCTTATACCTCCTCATTTTGTCATCCCTTCATCTCTCGATCAATTGTCTTGATTTTTTTTTTCTATTTTTAAAACATTTATTTAATTATTGCAATTATGAGGTTATACATAATCAAACATTGGTAATCACTACCAAACATGCAAAATACTTTAATTTCACCAAAATCTATTCCAATTATCAAGTATTTAATTCTCATTCTAATTCAAATTCCAATTTGATATTTTAATTTAATGGTCATAATAATATAATATATCCGGCCGGCCTTAATTAAATTCTTCATCATCATCATGTGCATATATTATATATGTATATATGTATGTAGTGGATACTTCATGACTGGAGTGATAGGCATTGCCTGAAGCTTCTGAAGAACTGCTACGAGGCATTACCAGAGAACGGAAAGGTGATAGCAGTAGAAGGGATTCTTCCACCAAAGCCTGAGAACAGTGCCTCTGTAATAAGCGTCACCCAAACGGATCTGATTATGTTGACTCAAAACCCTGGCGGAAAGGAGCGATCTGAACAGCAGTTTCGAGCCTTGGCAATGGGGTCTGGATTCAAAGGCATAACACTGGAATGTTTCGCCTGTAACTTTTGGGTCATTGAGTTCCACAAGTAGATTATATTGCATTGCATGAATGGTTTAAACTTTAAATAAGCACTGCAATGCGATGGATGATGGATGCATATATGCATGCATGCATGTCAGCTGCGCTCTTTAATTATTTTCCTACTATTTGTATATTTCTGGAGCAATCGGATTTTGCGTGTTATTGGACTTTAATTTTCATTTTTCAATACGATTGTCCGCATGTTTAATTTCTCAAATACTCCTTACTTGATTGGAAATAAATTCAACAAGGAAAATTGTAATTTAGGTCACTCCATAATATTTCAATTATCAATGTCACCCGTGAATTATCAGTGGTATAAATGTTGTCCCTCAATTTTCAAAATAGTACATATATTGTCCCTCCCATACCATACAGGACGGGCAATATATGTATCGTTTTGAAAATTGAGAGGCAACGTTTACACTTGGGAAGGGCAATATATGTATCGTTTTAAAAATTAAGGGGTAACATTTACACCAATAATAATTCAGGGGTGACATTGATAATTGACATATTATGGAGGGGTATAAATTACAATTTTTCCATTCAACCATCGTTATATTGTGCACCAAGGCGCACACTACATTGTGCGTCCTGTCCCGCCCAAAACGACGTCGTTTTGTTAAGTTGTGTGGGGAGTTCACGTGACAGAGTGTATGTGTATTCTTTTATATAATTATGTACATTATGTTATACAATTATGTACATTTTTTTTACAATTATGTACATTCTTTTATACAATTATGTACATTCGAAATAGGAGATTTGTTTTAAGAGTTCAAAGTTTATGTGTATTATGTATTATGTTAGATTATGTGTTTTATCTTTTCAAAAAAGAGTATGTGTATTCTATTATACAATTATGTACATTTTCAAAACATGAGTTTTTTTTTTTTTTTTTTAAAGAAGTTAACAACAAACACGGAAAAGGGAATTTCCAAAAAAAAGTACAAAACGACGTCGTTTTGCACCAGGCACACAATGCAATGTGCGCCCTAGTGCACGATATAAATTGCCTAAATTCAACTGGCTGCCCGGGATGCTAGTAATTCATTCATTCGTGCAATGCCCCCCCCCCCCCCCCCCCCCCCCGCATATATAAAAACAATTAATAAGTCAAAACTTTAATGCAATTTATTGAGTAAATTACCAAAATGATCCCTCGACTATAGTGAAAGTACCAAATTGATCCTCGACTTTTTTTTTTGACCGATTAAGCGGCCTTAGGCTTGATTCGGCGACCTCTGGTCTTCTTCCGATCCGGCTGGCGCGTACGTTGATGGCGAGGGTGGAGTGTAGTGGTGCAGTCGGCCAGATCTGAAATCTAACAAAATAAAATTGGCGAGATAATGATGTTGATGGATTTGTTGAAGAGCTCGCCAATCGCCACCATATCCATTGGCATTTCCAAGCTATGGAGTCCCACCGTCGCCACTTGCTTAGCTGTTGCGGCTGCTCTGCCTCTTCGTATCGCTAACGACGCAAGTTAAACAAAAAACAAAAAAAAAAAAAGAGAAAAGAGTGAAAGATCTATTTTGCCCTCAAAAGAGACGGCGACTTAACATCTAAACTGACGGAGGACCAAATTGGTCGTAAATTGAATAGTTGATGACTTAATCAGTCAAAAAATAAGTCGAGGACCAATTTGATACTTTCGCTATAGTCGAGGGACCATTTTGATAATTTACTCCAATTTATTCTTTAAATGGAAAAACAATTATAATTACACATTATATATATTATTTGAAAAATATATATACAGAATAATATTTCAAATTCGATCTGTGTTAAATTCTACGATCCTTGTATTATCTTGTAGGGATAGTCAAATATAGGGCTAATGACTTAAATAGAAAGAAGTTAGGAGTAAATGACAAAAATATGAAGTTTTTAAAAAATGTACAATTTTGGAAAAAATTCATTTGGGATATGCGTTTCTGACAAGAAACGCAAGTCCCAAATGAGTTTCTTGAAATTTTTGATTTTTTTTGATTTTTTTTTTATGGTTAGTCAAAATGTAAATGGCACTTTGCATTTAAATATGCTTGAAGGTACATTTAAATAAGTTTGATGGTGCTTTGAGTCCAAATGCGCCATCAAGCATTCCCATGTACACTACAGACTAATATGCACCATTGACAACAACTAAGTACACTGCGCACAAACCAACACTTAGTAGTGCACAACAGAAATATACTTGGTGTAGGAAACTAAAAAAATGCCACCCCATTCAAGCCATTGGTCTAAGCTGATCCGTCTATATATATATATTTTTTCTGCTGTACGTTTTCAAAGCATATATATTATATGCATGTCTATATGGGCAAGTGTTTAATGCGAATTGTAGCTATAGGTGGCATGCATACTGGTAATAAAATAAAGAAGAAAGAAAGATATGATGATATACAATTCAAATATATCGATCAGACCGAAAATTAATTATATATGTCTTCAGGACATTGTTTATTTTGTTAGAAAAATTATGGAAGTGGAAGCAACATATATATAGTTACATTTTGGGTGGGTGCAATAATGGCGCCGCCGCCTCAAATCAAAGCGTGTCTGATTGAAATTCACATATATGACCTTTTTATTTGGGCAGGCTGCTGGGCTTCACAATCACTTCAGTCTTTGGTTCCAAGTATTTCCTTGTATGTGTCTTTTACCTTCTGTATCAAAGCTTCTCTGTAATATAATTTCAAAATAACCAAATTAATCTATGATTAAAATGCACTAAATAATGTAGCTAGCAACATATATATAGTACATATATAATTTATAGGTTGAATCCACTCATCTTAATATAAAGAAGACAAATTAAAGATTACCTATCTGGTTTGTACACCAGGTTATTGTAAACAAATACCTGCATTATATTTGAGAAATATTATTCAACATGCAATGTCAGAATTGGTACAGTACTCACACATAAACACTATTTTCATTTTTGGTGGAAATTAAACCCGCAATTACTACAAACCGACTCAAACTAAGAAGGCTGAGATTTGAATTCGTGACTGTATGAATACAAATTAAACTTGTATTCTTAGTCATTTTGATTGGGATTACGTACCCTTATAGACATTATTTCTTGATGACATATATATAGTCTAAAATTTTTAGTTAAGGTAGATTCCAGGAATTGAAGTTAGCTATAAGCTAAGGTTAATTAAACTTACACCAGTATAGCCGATTCCTACAAGCTCAAGAAGACCAGGAACCACGGGAAGCTTGTCGAGTGCCTAAATATATCACAACACAATATAATATTATGCAACGTAACTAATAAGCAAGCTAAGCTACATATATGGGAATTATTATTAACTACTTCATATATATGACATTAAGTCATTAGTTAATTAATTATGTATGGGAATTATTATTAAGTAAGTAATGGTTGGGGGGGGGGGGGGGGGGGGGGGGGCATACGGAGACAACTCCGGTGGAAGCCCAAAGTCCAACTGCTCCAGCAACAGCAAGGGAAGTGACTGCATATTTATCTTCCACCTTATCCCACTGTAATTATTCAACTTAATTAGTTATATATAAATTCAAACTAATTATTAATTAAGAATGAATATAATGATTGGATGGACACACTGCACATATATATAAATATATATATATATATATATATATATATATATATATATATATATATATATATATATATATATATATAGAGCAATGAATGAAATTAAGAATAAAATAAAAGAGAAATAAAATTACATACAGTTTTTTGAATGGTCTTGACAAACTCAGGCAACTCGGTAGTAGTTGCGACTTCGGCGGTTGCGACCTCCCCAGTGGCCATTGCCACCACATTCCTCGCAATCTTCCGGCCTGCACCATACATAAATACATACTGATTAATAAATTATTAGTGAATGGAGGGCGGGAGATGAGATCGAGGATATATACGTACAGTAGGCGGTGGTTCTGGCGGCGCGGCTGGTGGTTTGAGAGTGGACAGGTGCAGGGGGAGGGAGGGTGGGAAGGGTGACGCATTGTGAAGAAGCTGCAGGTGCAGTAGTGTGACGGAGAGCCGCCTTGGTGTCAACCAAAGTGGATGATGATATTGATATGGGGGAAGTGGTGGATGCCATCTCTCTCTCTCTCTCTCTCTCTCCCTAGGAACGGATCGGATCGGATTACTAAACCAAAGACACAGCAGCTAGCTAGCTAGGATAGCTACTACTTAATTGTTGGCCTGCCCACCTAGAAAGCTAGCTTAATTAGCTTGATAGATGTCCAAACTCCACACTACCTCCGGGGATATGAAATGATGGATTAATTACAAGGAATTAAAGTTATTTAGGTGAAATCTAGCTATCAGACCACATTGGATATTGACCTCCCATTTCCAATCCAAATCCCCATCCAGCACGGACTTGGATAACCACTCATTCCATCCTACCCTACCTATTTCCCATCCGGATACTTAATGTCCATGCTCACATGCCCGGATATATGCCTATTCCCATCCGGATAGGAATTCTATGGTGCTAGCTAGCTGCATGCATGATAGCTTAGCTTCTTAACTTAAAAATTAAATGACCTAACCTCGATGGATCTACTCATGCAACCTTACTACTCTACTCCTCCAATTTATATTCAAATTATAATTACGGTTGGCGGAGGACAGTAAGGGTCAAGTCCAGTACCATGTGATTAGGAGATTATTGAGAGGAGGCTGGCAAGGGCCAAGTCTAACACTCTGACTCTTGAAAATGTAATGGCAGTTTATAAGAAAATAAAGTTATGTATTCCCTACTAGTTATGCGTTTTGGCATAGTGATAAGCGTTTGATCTTAAAATTAACTTAATCTCGTTTTTGTGCATGCATTTCAAATAAGCTAAAGGTCGGGAGCATTACTCCAATCTGAGCCGAAACTTAATTTCGATTAATTATTACTCGATCTTATTATCCTCCTATATAGTTTTAAGTTGATGTTAAGTTTGAAAAATAACATTTACTATTAACAATTTTAATTAAAAACCTCTAGACCATTACCATGGGATTTAAACTAATTTAATTTAATGCAATAATAAAAATTAATCAAAGATACATTTGATTTATACGTCATGATAAAAAAGTGAATCATAACATAGTTTTTATCTCTTTCTCTTTTGTCTTTCAATTATATGGTTAAGAAGACATGTGTTGCAAGTTTTATTCCTTAATAGTAATATATATATATATATATATATATATATATATATATATATATATATATATATATAGGCGGGTTCAGGTGCGGCAGTGTCTTACGGTGCGGTTATTTCTTACGGTGCGGCAACACCAATAGTTCACCAAATATGCACAATCAATGTTAGGAAATACACCACACAAAACAGAGTAAACAGAGCCCTGCATCACCAAACACACACCATTAGGTGTGAGTAAAAACACCATACACTGTTTGGAAATACACCATTGGGGGTGGTGAGTTATATGGTGTGTTTTTTTGAGTCTGTAGTGTATTTTGTGATGTTTTATTACACTTCATTGGGGTGTGTTTTTATTACACTGTTGGTGCATATTGTTAACACTGTTGGTGTATTCTGGAATTTGACCGCACCGCCGCACCGTAAGACCCCGCCGCATATGAGCGTTCTTCTATATATATATATATATATATATATATATATATATATATATATATATATATATATATATATATATATATATATATATATATATATATATAATTTGAAAGGTTCTAGTGCGGTTGGGTGCTTCCCGTGCGGTTGATTAATGTGCGTGAGCTTTGTACTTAATGTGCGTGAGTCTTGTGCTTAATGTGTCTGAACTTTGTATTTAATGTGCGTGAGTTTTGTACTTAATGTGCCTGAGTCTTGTGTTTAATGTGCCTGAGATTTGTACTTAATATGCGTGAGTGTGTAATGTTAATGTGCTTCTGTTGCTCCTGTACATATACGTCTTCATCTTCTCTTCCTCTCTTTTCCCTTAATACTCTCTTTCTTCCTCTCTCTCTGTTCTTCTTCATATACGTCTTCGTCTTCTCTTCCTATTCCCTTAATCCTCTCTTCCCCTCTCTCTGTTCTTCATCATATACGTCTTCGTCTTCTCTTCCTATTCCCTTAATCCTCTCTTCCCCTCTCTCTGTTCTTCATCATATACGTCTTCGTCTTCGTCTTCGTCTGACTTTTGTGTTTAATGTGTGTGAGTTTGTACGGAGGCTCCAAACATTCAAAGCTTGCACATCCGTTGTTGGGAAAGCAGTCAGACGCAAAATGCTTCGTTAAAGGAGCCAAAGTTGGCTCTTTTTTTAAAAACAAAAAAGTATAAAGGCATTTTAGGGAAAAAATTTCACAAAACGTCAAGTGCAAACGCGTTGGTATTTGCCCCCCTGCGACCGATCCTAAAATACCATCGACAAGTTTTTGAAAATACTTGTGATCTTTTTGACAAATTATTCTGTGGATCCGGGTCCACCTTTCAAAAATTATACAATTTATACACTGAATGTTCACAATTTTTATATACTAAATGTTCACAATTTATCTACTCAATGTTCTTAATTTATATAATGGTTCTATGGTGTAGTGGTTAGCACTTTGGAGTTTGGACTTTGAATCTAGTTACCTGGGTTTGACTCCCGGTAGGACCTCACATGTTTCTTCTACATTTTCCTTGGTCAAAATACAGAGATATGTACAAGGGAGGTTGGTTCAGGATACAGGTTGTACAGATGGGGCTTACCTATGTCTTGAGGGTGGAAGGCTTATGCGTTTGTTTGGATTGATGGATTGTAAAGCTTGATTTGACCTCGTGTTGGAGTGAACCATACTTGACCTTGACAGTGCCTTTGAAGGGGTTCAAATTGGGAGATGAGTATGTGGTGCATGTCTGAGGAGCATTCCTACTTGGGCCTTTTATATATGATGAGCATACATGGTTTGCATAGGTTAGCCCGCATGGGGCCGAGAGGTTTGTACATATTTTGATGTAGTTGTTATAGCATGGATCATGGTCGTCAAATGAAATTGTAATAAAATTAATGTGTGTGAAAAATGAAACTAAAAAACGGAGCTTATTCAATAACGTATATTGTCAAATGAAACTGTAGTATAATTAAAATGATACTTTAGTTATGTTATAATGAAACTTGTGTGTATGGAAAATGAAAATAAAATTCAGAGTCATACAATAACATATATTGTCAAATGAAGACAGAGTGTAATTAAAATAGTATTTTAATATTACTATAATTCAACTTGCGTGTGTGGAAAATAAAACTACAAAATGGAGCTCATGCAATAATGTATATGTCAAATGAAACTGTAGTAGAATTAAAATGATATTTTGGTTTGGTATTGCTATAATGAAACTAGTGTGTGTGAAAAATGAAACTGAAAACAGAACAATATTGTCAAATGAAACTGAAGTGTAATTAAAATGATACTTACTTCATGAACCACATTGCTACATGCACCATGGTCCACAGTAACATTTGCCATTTTGATGTCTATGGGTCACTTTTTAACCTATATGTACATATTTTTTTAGATTCAATGAAAGAAATACTTTGGTTTAAAAAAAAAATGTTCACAATTTACATAATGAATGTTCACAATTTTTATATACTAAATTTTCACAATTTACATATTGAATGTTCACAATTTTATATACTGAATGTTCACAATTTACATATTGAATGTTCATAATTTAAATTGTGAACATTTAGTATGTAAATTGTGAGCATTCAATATATAAATTGTGTATTTTGACCTGGTCCAGGCATAACTGTTGGATATTTTTATAACTGGCTCAAAACTTATGGAAGTTTTACACCTGAGCTGAGATGTCCATAGCTTAGTTTTTATGCCAATCCGAGTTCATTTGTTACTACTTTTTAGGGTCAGAATTTTCTGAAAACCCTATTAGCGAGTTTTTCATTATTCTGGCGATCTTTTCCGAACGAACTCAAAACTTGTGGAAGTCTTCTACATGGGTTGTAATGTCCATAGCTCAGTTTTGGCAACAGTCAGATTCAAAATTCTTGGAGAATTACCAGTCGACCCTCACCTCTATGTTTTAAATAGATGACACCAGAGCTCATAAAAGTTGTTGGGATTGCTGGAAATACTGAGATTATTGTTGAAGTGAGATTTTGAAAATCTTTCAAGAAGTTTTCAGAGAAAGAGCTTCAATGATTCATCCAGAAGCAACATAAAGCTATCTTCGTGAACATCCTGATTCGCGTCCATTATTCGTTTGTGAAAAAAAAAAAATCACAAACTTCTTTTGTGCGGTTGAAGTGTTACGAAATATTACTATGAAAGTACTATTTTTAAGAAAAAATAGCAAGCACAAGAACGAAAGGAATTTCTGTGTAGGTAGTTAGTACGAGTCGAGCGAAACACTTTTTCCTTAAAACCTTATTTGTCGTCTCCCAAAGGTGCTAAGAACGTTACAACCTAGGCTTCCCAAGATAAAACGTACTACGATTTCAAGTTTGATCACTCAAACAGTGGAACCCGGCGAACTAGAGCGTGGAATGAACACAAGAGGCAAGGAAAGAGAAGAAGCAGAGTTTCGACAGAGAGTAAAAATCTGCTTCTCAACAACCAGATTGTAATATTCAAAACTGACCATTTAACATGGAGATTAATTCTAGAATTTAAAATTAAAATTAATTATGTAACATTTGAATTATTCCTCCAAATGGGGGGGGGGGGGGGGGGATTTAAAATTAGAATTAATACATCTGAACTAATCCTCCAAACAGAAGCGGATTTAAAATCCAAATTAATACATCTGAACTAATCCTCCAAACGGAAGCGGATGTTGCCTGCATTTCCAGACTCACAGAGGCTCACTTTGGGACTTGATTTGCAATCCCTTGCGCGCGAGAAAGAACCTTTATGCTATACAAGTCAATATACCTAAGAAAGGCTCTTGTATAAATAATGGTGCAAACCCACTTCCTAAACCAATGTGGGACAAAAACATCATACAAGCCTTTCCACTTTCATTTTCCAACTCAAATGGGTTTACTTTAAGAATCAATTTGTCATTCACCCATTATCCGTTTTGAGCGTACAATATATCAATCTCTTTGTCTCACTACGAAGAACTTGAATCCACTTTAACCCGACCCAAATTAAAAATTGACCCACTTATAATTGTACCACAAAATAGCTACTTAAAATGTCTTTTATGCTATTTGTCCAACATGAAGCAAACCAATGCTCCAAACTGTGTTACCAAACACATTTTTCGTCATTTTGACTAAGTCAAAAAGTTGAGAATGACATATCCAT